CTCGGCTAGAGTATTAGGAATTGGAATGGTGTTAAGGCTGGCTAGAAAACTTTTATGGGATTTAGAGAATCTTTGGAATGATACATATTTGGCTAAAGGGTACAATGGGCATTTGGTACATTCTCTAGTTCCTTTTCTCAGTGCAATAGGTAGGTCATACTCATACTCAGACTGTGAAGGTGTAGGTTCAGGATCTAAGCATCCCTCAATTCTAGGATTAAGAGTTGAATCTTGGACTTGTACAGGTTGAGGATCTGGATTTTTCCTCCTAGAGTAAACCTGCATATATCTCACRTTATCATGCACATCATTCGTGGGATTAACAGTGTCCGAATTTGGTTCAATGGTCGAGTTGTTTGACTCTTGTTGAGACTCGAGAATGTGGGGCTCAAAGAAATGTGACTCAGAGGGATGTGATTCTTGACGATTGAATGTCTGTGAGGAGGGTAATACATCTAGGGAGAGTAGATCCGAGGCCTTATCTTCCATTAATGAGGGCTCCCCCTGAAGATAAGGTTGAGTGAAAAAAGATTTTCCTTCCTCAAATGTGACATCGATGGAGGTGTAGAATTTTCTAGTGGCTGGATGATAACATTTATAACCTTTTTCAGTTGGGGAATATCCCAAGAAGACACACCTGATTGCTCGTGGGACTAATTTTCCCTTATTATGGACATGAACAAAGGCAGTGCAGCCAAAAATTCTTGGTGTGAGATTATTTGAGTTTCGAATATCAGGGTAAAATTAAGAAAGGACTTATATTGGGCTTCGGTTGTCAAGAACTTTAGATGGTAGTCTATTTGTGGTGTAGGCAGCAGTAAGGACAACTTCCCCCCCCAATATTGTTTTGGCACCTGATTTTGAAAGAGAAAGGCTCGGGTGGTTTGCAAAAGATGGCCATTTCTTCTCTCAGCTACCCCATTCTGTTGGGGAGTGTTAACACAGGAGGATTCATGCACAATGCMTTCTTTCTGAAAAAATGGGGACAAATTCTGATTAAAATAATCTGTAGCTTTATCAGATCGAAACCTTTTAATTCTCACACCAAACTGAGTTTGGACCATGTTATGAAAGTTGGGAAGAATCGTACCCACATCAGATTTAGATTTAAGAAGAAAAATCCATGTGACCCTAGTGCAATCATCAATAAAGGTGA